TAATCAAGTCTGCTTTTCATTTTTTTACGTTGCAGGGAAACGGACATTCAATTCTAAACAGGGCATCGGTCATGGATTCAAGTTGCATCATGTGGAGGACTTTGGTTTAAATAATCTTAATTCAGGAGGTGTGCGATTAGTAGGACTACACTTTCAAAACAAAACCGGCTCAACCTGTTGAAATTTTTATGCTTATCTCATAAAATACACTAAAAGAAACAGGAAGTACTGTGATGGTCAACTGTGGTGGTCTACTATAAAAGTAAACACTCAGAAGTGAAAATTAAATGCCAGAAAATTAGTTTGTTTCTGTTTCTCCTGAAAATGTGGTCATACCCTTAAATGAGGCTCTGTAATTTAGGAACGGTCAGTTTATAGGAACAGGCAGAATGATGAGAAGGTAGCCATATTAATTCTAGAGTGTGTCACTTATACCTGTTTAACACATTTTACAGTGACTTGCTAGTTACATGCATCTCTGGATTCACACACAGTAAATTCAGTGTTCAAATCATAAGCACATAGTTACCACTGCTACACTGTTACCAATTTATTTTTTGTGTACTGTTGGAATCACAGGTGTTAGATTATTAAAATGGTATTATTTAGCACTAATTTATGATATTTCATGCTTATAACTAAATAAATTATCCGGCAAAATTTAGAAGACAAATCGATCCAGTTGCTGTGATCAGATGCAATTGAAGTGGAGATAATGAGTTATGCAGTAGAGAGATAGCATGGACTGCAGATGCTGGAGTGGAGTCAATACAGTGTGCAGCTGGAGGAACACAGCAGGTCAGGCAGGATCAGAGGAGCAGGAGAGCCGACCATTCATCAGGGTCTAGGCCCGAAACATCGACTCTCCTGCACCTCTGATGCTCCCTGACCTGCTGTGTTCCTCCAGTTCCACAATGCAGTAGAGATATGTTCTAATATGCAATAATTTCTACAAGGAAATCATTTTTAGAGTGAAGAACTTGCAGATAAAGACTGGTCCTTAGATTATGGGAGACCTTATGTAGCAATTTACTGACTGTAAACAGTAATGCTTTTATTAAACAGCTGCTCTATGCAAACTGACAGCTTCCTGAGAGTGGCTGAACTCTGCTATCACAATCCCAGTCCTGTCAGGAGCATCTTCTTAAGAAACAATGGAGCTCAGCTGTTCTCCAATGGCAATGGATCAATTGCCAAGGTGAAGGCTGGGGCAAAATAGTAGTGGAATCTACAGAGCAGCTGTCTGATACAAGATCATACACAGCCCCCACTTCAGTAATGTTTGTAGGAGTTGCATGGGATTAAGGACTTTAAACTAAAAGCATCTCTGCAAACATCCTCCTCAAACATAATGATATTCCTATACGTAATACAGGAAACAAAATCACCATATCCTGCCCACAGTGAGCCCAAATGATCTATAGCAAAATAATGTCAAATGAATTGACTATAGTTTCCTGACAATTTGTCAAATGTTGTCAACCTGTTTTTGTTCAATGTTAAAGCCCATTAAGTACTTATTGCAATTTTCCTTCTTGTATCTGATAATACAGCCAGACCACTTCTGTTAAGTAGAAGACTCCTATTTGGAATAAATCCCTTAAGTGGGTTTTCCAGTCTATCACCTCATGAAGTGCACTCCGTATTCACTTTCTTTTTACAAATTACAGTGCATCTGCGTGAAACTAATTAGAAAAAAAATTGACAGCAAAAATTCAAGCCTTATTTTGAGCAGCATTTTAAAGAAAAGTCTGCAAAAACACCTTGGAATTTTTCATGAAGCCACTAAATAAATGTAAGTTCTTTTTCTTCTTCTCTCATGTCAACAAGATTCGTTCTTCTGAAGATTAGAAATTTAATATTCATTTTTTCTTGAAACTCCTAATCCTCTGAAAAGAGGGAGTTCATAAGGTTCAATGTTAGATGCCAAATCCAATGAGAACAGGTTGGGCAGAGGGTTAAAATTCTGGCAGCAAGTTTTTCCACATAATGACATCTTCACCTCATCATCATCTGAACAAGCAAGCTTTGGGAAGCCAGTAAGGTCAATGTCTCAGGTAGACCATTGGAACTCACTGGCATTCAAAAGTCAACACCTGATGAAATAATTCAGGTCCTGAAGAAATATGGAGAGTGAACAGCTTGAGGTTGGCTCCAGCTTTCTCTCATAGCAGCTGAGATAACACAATGCTGATATGAAGAAAAAATGCCACTAAAGAGATATCGTAATTTCACCTAACCTCGAAAGAAACTAATATTTTTTTTAAATTTTCAACCTTTAGCATAGTTATCAGCTTTCGTGGGCAGAAAGTCGCATGAGGAAATCCAATTATGAAGGCTATTATTATTTTCTTATTTACATTATTTTTGCATAAATGATCACTATTTAAAGATGGCAAAAATAGTGCACTCCAGATTATAATCCACATGTCCCTAAAAGAATTTTATGACTTCAAATTTCTATGGTTGACATTTCCAAAGTTGTTACCTATTAGTGGCTCAATGCACTGATTCTTAAAGTTATTGTGGCTCCATCTATATGTTCAGCAAAAAACCAGGGATTTCAGAATCACAGCCTTGTATAGTAAAGGAAGTGTGTTTAATCTTGAGTCTCCTCCTCAATAGTAAGGTATAAATTAAGTGTATGTGTGTGTGTACACACATTTGTGTGTGGGTGCGAGTGCCCATGTGCTTTTGTGTATTTGGGTTTGCATGTGAGCATTTCTGTGTATCAATCACTTGCATTTGTCTATGGATTTGCATAGGTATGCATTGGTCTACAGGAATAGTGCCAGAAGACTGGAGACTAGCAAATGTTGTCCCCTTGTTCAAGAAGGGGAGTAGAGACAACCCTGGTAATTATAGACCAGTGAGCCTTACTTCGGTTGTGGGTAAAGTGTTGGAAAGGATTATACGAGATAGGATTTATAATCATCCAGAAAGGAATAATTTGATTAGGGATAGTCAACACGGTTTTGTGAAGGGTAGGTCGTGCCTCACAAACCTTATTGAGTTCTTTGAGAAGGTGACCAAACAGGTGGATGAGGGTAAAGCGGTTGATGTGGTGTATTTGGATTTCAGTAAAGCGTTTGATAAGGTTCCCCATGGTAGGCTATTGCAGAAAATACGGAGGCATGGGATTGAGGGTGATTTAGTGGTTTGGATCAGAAATTGGCTAGCTGTAAGAAGACAGAGAGTGGTGGTTGATGGGAATGTTCATCCTGGAGTTCAGTTACTAGTGGTGTACCTCAAGGATCTGTTTTGGGGCCACTGCTGTTTGTCATTTTTATAAATGACCTGGATGAGGGCGTAGAAGGATGTGTTAGTAAATTTGCGGATGACACCAAAGTCGGTGGAGTTGTGGATAGTGTGGAAGGATGTTGCAGGTTACAGAGGGACATAGATAAGCTGCAGAGCTGGGCTGAGAGGTGGCAAATGGAGTTTAATGCGGAAAAGTGTGAGGTGATTCACTTTGGAAGGAGTAACAGGAATACAGAGTACTGGGCTAATGGTAAGATTCTTGGTAGTGTGGATGAGCAGAGAGATCTCAGTGTCCATGTGCATAGATCACTGAAAGTTGCCACCCAGTTTGATAGGGTTGTTAAGAAGGCGTACGGTGTGTTAGGTTTTATTGGTAGAGGGATTGAGTTTCAGAGCCATGAGGTCATGTTGCAGCTGTACAAAACTCTGGTGCGGCCGCACTTGGAGTATTGCGTACAGTTCTGGTCACCGCATTATAGGAAGGATGTGGAAGCATTGGAAAGGGTGCAGGGGAGATTTACCAGGATGTTGCCTGGTATGGAGGGAAGGTCTTATGAGGAAAGGCTGAGGGACTTGAGGCTGTTTTCGTTAGAGAGAAGAAGGGTAAGAGGTGACTTAATAGAGACATACAAGATGATCAGAGGATTAGATAGGATGGACAGTGGAAGCCTTTTTCCTCGGATGGTGGTGGCTAGCACGAGGGGACATAGCTTTAAATTGAGGGGTGATAGATATAGGACAGATGTCAGAGGTAGGTTCTTTACTCAGAGAGTAGTAAGGGCGTGGAATGCCCTGCCTGCAAAAGTAGTGGACTCGCCAACTTTAAGGCCATTTAAATGGTCATTGGATAAACATATGGATGATAATGGAATAGTTTAGGTTAGATGGGCTTCATATTGGTTTCAGAGGTCGGCGCAACATTGAGGGCCGAAGGGCCTGTACTGCGCTGTAATGTTCTATGTTCTATGTATGGTGTATTCATTTGTGCCTGTGTGAAGATGTTAGGTCAAGCACATCCCACATGGCAGTATAACCATGGCACTAGAAAAGATATTTTAAATACGTTCATATCTGTGTTAAACATTATACTTGAATTGTGAATGAAGAGTCCTGATTTGGCTGCAGTACTAGTGTGCAATCTTATGAGACCCACAGAGGTGGTGTTGGAGACAGAAACAAGAGGGAAATCAGAAATATTCATGTTGGATCTGTGGGTTGACACTGTAAAGGGTTAGCTCTTGAGCATATTCGCTGGAAGCTATGTCAACGATGATGTGTTATGATTGCTTCATATTTCATTATGTTTGTAGACATAGATTCTGCCCTTAGAAATCTATCAGCTTTGGACATTATCTGTGTTAATTTTGCTCGGTGCCTCTATTGGGCCTGTGAACCCAGGAACCCACTCATTTGATGGGAGAGGGAATCCAAAGATGTCTAATTAATTGACAATCTTGGGAAACATTTTCAGACAGGGGCTACTCATAGATCATCAATGGCATGTCCCACATTTGTCCCAACAGATAACTATTTCCAAAGGAGGCAAGATTCAATCTATAGAGAGCTTTCAGCACAGCAGGGTTCTTTCTCAGCATGGGTTAATGATCAGTCATGACAGGGTAAATAAGCTAAATTCTGCTGCTGTTGATTCAGATGAGTGTGAAGTAATATTGTGTCATTATTTATTTAATCGCCCGACATCTTTGATTTATGCTCACAAGTGTATTCCCCATTTACAGGTTGCTGATTGGGTCACCATGGAATGGTTTTCCTGAAAATCGCACAGGAGATGTGTACAAATGTCCTATCGACGGCAACAATGAAACTTGTGAGAAACTCAACTTGGGAGGTAAGTATGACGCCATAATAAACATGTAAAATATCAAATCTACTGGTGATATATCTAACAGCTATAGTGAGACATTCTTCCCACCTCCAGCTGATTTTCATGCTGCATCAGAGCAAAGTTGGATTGAAAGTTGTCTAAACCACTGTCCTTTTCTGTCTCAAACTTTTTTCTCAATATCTACACTTGGCACTGAATAGTATTATGTCCCAAAAAACTTTCAAATATACACAAACATACATCCTCTGACACCCTTTCAATTGCCTATAACCTTTAAACAGAAAACGTGAAATCTGAAATAAAGGCAGAAAATGGTGGAGAAACAGAGCAGGTCGAGCAGCATTTACAGACAGAGAAATAGGGTTCTGAATATCACTTCTGAAGGACAGTCATATTGGACTCCAAATGTTAGCTCTGTTTCTCTGCTGCCAGGCCTACTGAGTTTCTCCAGAGTTCTCTGTTTGTTTCAGATTTCTAGTATCCATAGTCTGTTGTTTTTATTTTAACATGGAGGCCACTTGTTGGCTTCTGACAGGGTTGAAAGTTCTTAGTTTTTTTTATGCGTCTGGTCTTGAGGAAGTTCTCTATGGGCTTGCCCAAGCTGATGAAGAGGTCCCACAACTTGCTTCCATTTCCTCAACCTCTCAGCTAACCTTGCAGTTAAACTGTGCTCTCAAGTAAATGTTACGCTGCCCACCTCCTCTACCTAAATGACCCCAAGGCTCTAGAGACAACAAAGTATGTCTCTTTGGCAGGTAAACATCTTGCGTGTCCTCCTGGAGTCATTAGGAGGAGACAGTTATTGAGAATATTTCCTGAGTCCTCACTGGTTACAGCCTTTATGGTTTGATTTCATGGAGATAATTTTGATTTAGCACAATAAAACAAAAGCAGTCATATCAATTCAGCCAGTGATGATATGTCTTTCTTGATATTACGTTGGGAGAAATGTGCGCTGAGAGTTACTGAATTAACTTCATCCATTTGCATGATCACACAAAGTCAGAATGACCCTCATATGTGATAATTGCTACCATTTGATTGATATTCATGGATTCAGTTGCTATTGTTGTCCAGGTTTCTATTTGTACCCATTGATTACTATGCATTTTCTTGAATTTACCATAGTAAACACCTCCCATATTCTACCATGTTGAATATCTACAGGTTGCTTTTCCTCATTGCTTCATTTCTTACCTGATCAGTCATCTGTTTTGTGTCACATAATTTTGGAATCTGATCTAGTTAGTTTCAGGCATCTTTTTATTCTGTACTTAGTATTATACCGTTAGCAAGTATCTCACTTGATTTCCACTCTGTGGGAATCCTGGCATCGGATATTTTAAACTCCCAGATCATGTTAAATTTGTTCACTGTGCTGCTGCTATCTGCAGTGATGTGTGAAACATTCAGATTCTAGAATTTGTCAAGAGTTAAGAGAAAATTTCATGTCAAGATGAACACTAACTCTTGTCCACTTTCTTGATGGACTAAATTATACCACAGGCTACATATGATGACCCTGAATTTTTTTTTTCAAACTTATATTAGATTGTTTCATGCCTCATGCTCACCACAATTAATTTAATTTTCCTATTCTCACAAACCTCTTCTGGTCCTGTAAAGAACAAGCATTCCTCATTTAACCTCTATCTTGTGGTAATCTACATGTCCATGTTATTGAACCAGCAGCCCAAAGGTTATAAGCTCAAAGTCATCATAACAAGTTATGAAATTAAATTCAGTAAATCTAAATAATTTTAGACTAGTTCCAGATAATATAACCATGAAAGCTGTTTGAGTTTCACGTAAACATGGCTATTTCACAAATGCGGATCGGCTGCCCATTCAATGGAACTGGAGCTAAATTCAAGGCCACTGTTCAGCATGACTTTTCATGCAGCCCTGTGCTTTGCCAGCAGTGAAGTATCATCTCCAGGTACCCTCTTTGTGAGATTGAATTTCCAGCTCCTATGGACTCCCATCTAGACTGGAAAGGTGCCTTCAAAACCCCACATCACCAGAAAAAGATAGTATGCAGGAGGAAATCCAAGTTTTATTACCCATTTAAAGTGGCAAACTTGACCTCAGTGGGAGTGGGGGTGTATTTGTATACTAGGCATTTCCAACCCATTAAAAGTCCAGACAGAAATAACATGGGGTCAGGAATGCAATTGGATTCCTCCAAGCCATTTTTGCTCTGAACACATCTCCACACCCAGATAGAAGTTTGATTCTTAAGTTAATCTTAAGTAAAAACTGCACAATAAGGTTTAATTGTTAAATATATATTTGCTGAAGGTATTTAATTCATTACACTGGGCAATTATTGATATCAAACACCACAGAACATAGAACATAGAACATTACAGCGCAGTACAGGCCCTTCGGCCCTCGATGTTGCGCCGACCTCTGAAACCAATCTGAAGCCCATCTAACCTAAACTATTCCATTATCATCCATATGTTTATCCAATGACCATTTAAATGCCCTTAAAGTTGGCGAGTCTACTACTTTTGCAGGCAGGGCATTCCACGCTCTTACTACTCTCTGAGTAAAGAACCTACCTCTGACATCTGTCCTATATCTATCACCCCTCAACTTAAAGCTATGTCCCCTCGTGCTAGCCATCACCATCCGAGGAAAAAGGCTTCCACTGTCCACCCTATCTAATCCTCTGATCATCTTGTATGTCTCTATTAAGTCACCTCTTAACCTTCTTCTCTCTAACGAAAACAGCCTCAAGTCCCTCAGCCTTTCCTCATAAGACCTTCCCTCCATACCAGGCAACATCCTGGTAAATCTCCTCTGCACCCTTTCCAATGCTTCCACATCCTTCCTATAATGCGGTGACCAGAACTCTATGCAATACTCCAAGTGCAGCCACACCAGAGTTTTGTACAGCTGCAACATGACCTCATGGCTCTGAAACTCAATCCCTCTACCAATAAAACCTAACACACCGTACGCCTTCTTAACAACCCTATCAAACTGGGTGGCAACTTTCAGTGATCTATGCACATGGACACTGAGATCTCTCTGCTCATCCACACTACCAAGAATCTTACCATTAGCCCAGTACTCTGTATTCCTGTTACTCCTTCCAAAGTGAATCACCTCACACTTTTCCGCATTAAACTCCATTTGCCACCTCTCAGCCCAGCTCTGCAGCTTATCTATGTCCCTCTGTAACCTGCAACATCCTTCCACACTATCCACAACTCCACCGACTTTGGTGTCATCCGCAAATTTACTAACACATCCTTCTACGCCCTCATCCAGGTCATTTATAAAAATGACAAACAGCAGTGGCCCCAAAACAGATCCTTGAGGTACACCACTAGTAACTGAACTCCAGGATGAACATTCCCATCAACCACCACTCTCTGTCTTCTTACAGCTAGCCAATTTCTGATCCAAACCACTAAATCACCCTCAATCCCATGCCTCCGTATTTTCTGCAATAGCCTACCATGGGGAACCTTATCAAACGCTTTACTGAAATCCAAATACACCACATCAACCGCTTTACCCTCATCCACCTGTTTGGTCACCTTCTCAAAGAACTCAATAAGGTTTGTGAGGCACGACCTACCCTTCACAAAACCGTGTTGACTATCCCTAATCAAATTATTCCTTTCTGGATGATTATAAATCCTATCTCTTATAATCCTTTCCAACACTTTACCCACAACCGAAGTAAGGCTCACTGGTCTATAATTACCAGGGTTGTCTCTAAACCCCTTCTTGAACAAGGGGACAACATTTGCTAGTCTCCAGTCTTCTGGCACTATTCCTGAAGACAATGACGACATAAAGATCAAAGCCAAAGGCTTTGCAATCTCCTCTCTAGCTTCCCAGAGAATCCTAGGATAAATCCCATCTGGCCCAGGGGACTTATCTATTTTCACACCTTCCAGAATTGCTAACACCTCCTCCTTATGAACCTCAATCCCGTCTAGTCTAATAGACTGTATCTCAGTATTCTCCTCGACTACATTGTCTTTTTCCTGCGTGAATACTGACAAAAAATATTCATTTAGCACCTCTCCTATCTCTTCGGACTCCACGCACAACTTCCCACTACTGTCCTTGACCGGCCCCAATCTTACTCTAGTCATTCTTTTATTCCTGACATACCTCTAGAAAGCTTTAGGGTTTTCCTTGATCCTACCTGCTAAAGACTTCTCATGTCCCCTCCTGGCTCTTCTTAGCTCTCTCTTTAGGTCCTTCCGGGCTAACTTGTAACTCTCAAGCGCCCTAACTGAGCCTTCACGCCTCATCTCTACATAAGCCTCCTTCTTCCTCTCGACAAGAGATTCAACTTCTTTAGTAAACCACGGTTCCCTCGCTCGACCACTTCCTCCCTGCCTGACAGGTATATACTTCTCAAGGACACGCAGTAGCTGTTCCTTGAACAAGCTCCACATTTCAATTGTGCCCAGCCCCTGCAGTTTCCTTCTCCATCCTATGCATCCTAAATCTTGCCTCATCGCCTCATAATTGCCTTTCCCCCAGCTACAACTCTTGCCCTGCGTTATATACCGATCCCTTTCCATTGCTAAAGTAAACGTAACCGAATTGTGGTCACTATCACCAAAGTGCTCACCTACCTCCAAATCTAACACCTGGCCTGGTTCATTACCCAGTACCAAATCCAATGTGGCCTCGCCTCTTGTTGGCCTAGCTACATACTGTGTCAGGAAACCCTCCTGCACACATTGGACAAAAACTGACCCATCTGAAGTACTCGAACTATAGCGTTTCCAGTCAATATTTGGAAAGTTAAAGTCCCCCATAACAACTACCCTGTTACTTTCGCTCCTATCCAGAATCATCTTTGCAATCTTTTCCTTTACATCTCTGGAACTTTTTGGAGGCCTATAGAAAACTCCCAACAGGGTGACCTCTCCTTTCCTGGTTCTAACCTCAGCCCATACTACCTCAGTAGACGAGTTGTCATCAAACGTCCTTTCTGCCACCGTAATACTGTCCTTGACTAACAATGCCACACCTCTCCCTCTTTTACCATCTTCCCTGATCTTACTGAAACATCTAAACCCCGGAACCTGCAACAACCATTCCTGTCCCTGCTCTATCCATGTCTCCGAAATGGCCACAACATCGAAGTCCCAGGTACCAACCCATGCTGCAAGTTCACCCACCTTATTCCGGATGCTCCTGGCATTGAAGTAGACACATTTCAAACCACCTTCCTGCCTGCCGATACACTCCTGCGACATTGAAACCTTATTTATGACCTCACTACTCTCAACCTCCTGTACACTGGAGCTACATTTCAGGTTCCCACCCCCTGCTGAATTAGTTTAAACCCTCCCAAAGAGCATTAGCAAAATTCCCCCCCAGGATATTGGTACCCCTCTGGTTCAGGAGTAGACCATCCCGTTTGTAGAGGTCCCACCTACCCCAGAATGAGCCCCAATTATCCAGGTATCTGAATCCCTCCCTCCTGCACCATCCCTGTAGCCACGTGTTCAACTGCTCTCTCTCCCTATTCCTCGCCTCGCTAGCACATGGCACGGGTAACAAACCAGAGATAACAACTCTGTTTGTTCTAGCTCTAAGGTTCCACCCTAGCTCCTTGAATTTCTGCCTTATGTCCCCATCCCTTTTCCTACCTATGTCATTGGTGCCTATGTGGACCATGACTTGGGGCTGCTCCCCCTCCCCCTTAAGGATCCCGAAAACACGATCCGAGACATCATGGACCCTGGCACCTGGGAGGCAACACACCAACCGCGAGTCTCTCTCGTTCCCACAGAATCTCCTATCTGTCCCCCTAACTATGGAGTCCCCAATGACTAATGCGCTCCTCCTCTCCCCCCTTCCCTTCTGAGCAACAGGGACAGAGTCTGTGCCAGAGACCTGTACCCCATGGCTTACCCCTGGTAAGTCGTCCCCCCCAACAGTATCCAAAACGGTATACTTGTTTTTGAGGGGAATGGCCACAGGGGATCCCTGCACTGTCTGCCTGTTCCCTTTCCGTCCCCTGACTGTAACCCACCTACTTTTTTCCTGTACCTGAGGTGTAACTACCTCCCCGTAACTCCTCTCAATTACCCCCTCAGCCTCCCGAATGATCCGAAGTTCATCCAGCTCCAGCTCCAGTTCCCTAACACGGTTTCCGAGGAGCTGGAGTTGGGTGCACTTCCCGCAGATGAAGTCAGTGGGGACACTAGTGGTGACCCTTACCTCCCACATTCTACAGGAGGAGCGTACAACTGCCCTAACATCCATTCCCACTGTTCTGAATTCCCAAACAGACAAATTAAAAAAAAGATGCCAGTAGCCTTACCAAATCAGCGCTCAGAACCTTTTTTTTTGGTTAGAGGAGGAGGATGGGTGGGAGACACTACCTAGGTAGTGTTTCGGGTAAAGCAACCGCCCAAATATATTACCTCACTTACTCCAAAAATGGAGTCACGCGAGGTAAGACTTTTATAATCGAAAAGCTCACCTTCCCATTTAATTGACTAAACAGATAGTGTTTGTCTCGACTCTCAAAATGAACTGTCTCTTTAGTAGTGGTGAATGCAGTGTTATTTGTACTGTACAAAAAAAATGCCAAAATATAATGTTTTACCAGATGTTCTGCTTGATCTTTCAGATGTAATGACTTTTCCAAATGTGACCGAGGACAAACAGGACATGAATACTGGTTCAACACTGATCAGAAATGACAAAACTGGTGGATTTTTGGTAACCATAAATTTTTAAACAATATATTTACACAGTTACACAATTGTGACACCGAGAACATACTCAACTTTAAAATTTGCACAATTCACTCATATTATGAGTACATTTGAGCAGTGTTAGATTACTTTTCAGAACCAGGTAAGAAACTTAACAAATAGATAGATCTGCTTCAGTTCAACTATTTTCATTGTAAATTCATACAAATATTAAATTTTTAAATAGTGGTCCAAATTTTCTGACAGGCAATAGTTACCACAGAGTGGATGGGAGATGAGCATGGATTCACTGCAGAATCCCTCTTACAGCACATTATGAAGGAATGGGCTATCAGAAAATTCAATTCTATGCCTTGAACTCCTTGAAAATCTCCATTTAAATTGGAGACTTCAGAGGATGCCAATAAAATTAAGCCAAGTATTTAGTCAGGGGAAGGTAAAATGCTGTAGAAAGAGTCCAACACCTGAGTAACTATTCAACTGACCCCATACTTACCTTGAATACTCCCAACTACAACTCCCAACGATCCCTTAAACCCCCTCCATGCCTTAGCACCAACACTCCCCCAGGAAGGGATCGTAACACCCTTGTTGGACATGACCCCACAACTGCCAGAACCGATACGACAACCCCACACCCTGCCAGACCCGAATGCACTCGCCTCCTCACATTGCATTTGCCTTCCTAACCACCAACTGAACCTGCATGTAAATCTTAAGAGAATCCAGAGATAGGACTCCCCAGTCCCTTTGTGCTTCAGATTTCTGAAATCTTCCCTCATTTAGAAAATAATCTACACTTCTGTTCTTCCTACCAAAATGTATAATCTCACACTTTGCCACATTATATTCCATCTGCTACTTGCCAAGCAAGTCCAAGTCCTTCTGCAGTCTCTACTGGTCACCAACTGCCATCCTGAAAAAGACCCTTTTATCTCTACTGTCTGCCTTCTGCCAGTCAGCTCTCCTCTTTCCATGGCCATACCTTGTCCCAAGCACCACAGGCTATTATCTTATTTAGCAGCCTCCCGTGTGGCACCTTGTCAAAGATCTTCTGGAAATCCAAATAGATCACTTCCACTGGTTCTCCTTTGTCTAATGTGCTCACTATCTCCACCACCAAAGCTCAGTAGCAACAGTGTGTACTATCTACAAGGTGCTGCAAAAATTAGACAGCACCTTCCAAACTCACGACTGCTTCTACCTACAAGGACAAGGGTAACAGTTACCATCCTGACTTGGAAATATATTGCCATTCCTTCACTGTTGCTGCATCCAAATGAGAGAATTTCATCACTAAGTTCAAGAAGGCAGCTCACCACTACCTTTTCAAGGGTACCTAGGTATGGGCAATCTACGCTGGCCAGCCAGCAATGGCTACATCTCACAAGTGAATGAAATAAAAACCCTTGACACACCATGCACTCCCAGGTCCATGCCAATCTGTACACCCAGGCACTCTCAGTAATCCCTCGCATCATATGTATCAATGCATGACACTTCCAACCATCCCCAAAGGCCCTTCATACCTACATGTGACTCTGTGATACTTACACACTCATTCACTCAGTATATACTTTGTACGGAACCACTGAACTCTGCAAGAGGAATAGCATATGTGGTACTACTTAAAAAAATGCCCATTCATAATTTTCAGAAAACTTCAGAGGCTATAGCCCCAGAAAAGTATAAGCCTACCTAAAAACAGTAACAGAAGGTATATGCACTTGCCACCTCATTGTCTTGTGCAGATAAACATTGAAGCATTGACAAAAGAGATTGCAAAGGAATAAAAGCAGATTTGAACAACTGCAAAGTGCCTTGAGAAGTTGGGCCAACTCTGTCAAATTGAGTGGTACTAGGAGTTGCCTTCTCCTGGCCAGGTCAAGATTGCAGTATTTTTGTCAACAGAATTAATTTCTTTATCTTTCTTTCAGACTTGTGCTCCATTATGGGCACAGAAGTGTGGCAACATGAATTATCCGAGAGGATTGTGCGCAGATATAAAATCAAACTTCCAAATATCAAAAACCTTCTCACCAGCTGTCCAACGTAAGCTTCAACTTCAGATGCTTGATGTTAAAAGATTTCAGACATTCTAGGAATAACATCATTCTTATCTCAACTTTTATTTGAATGAGCATATTTCCTGGTTGAATACCTCTAATTCAACACAGTCAGTTCTCGGACTGTGTAAGCCCATATCTCCTTCGATTTGCATCACCCTATCTGATTTCAGTCCATTATGTGAAGTTAAAATCACGGTAAGGTCCTAATTTAGTGTTTTCAATAACCAGAGTGTAATGTGAAGTGATACTCCCCGGGGAAAAGTGTCAAATTTCAAATAATCACATCAGCTAGTTCTACTGGAGAACAAGAATGCTAATTCATTGACAATTAATTTGTATGGGAGTGTTGTTACAATTAGAGAAGGCATTGGTGAGACCATACACCTGGAGTATTGTGTCCAGTTTTGGTCTTGTTACTTGAGGAAGCACGTTTGTGGCACTGGAGCCAGTTCAGAGGAGGTTCATAGGTTGATTCCAGGGACAAAAGGCTTGTTGTATGAGGAGCAGTTGAATAGCTTCAAATTGTACTTGTTTGAGTTCAGAAGAATGAGGAAGGATCTGATTGAGGCATATAAAATGCTGAAGGGGATTGATAAGCTGGATGTTGAACAAATATTTCCTCTTGTGGGACAGTCTTGAATACGAGGTCCTAGATACAGTGTGAGAGGAGGTAGGTTCAAAACTGAGGAGAAACTGCATCTCTCAGAGGGCTGTGAATCTGTTCAATTCACTTCCCCAAAGTGCAGTGAAGACAGAATCAATCAACAGATTCAAGAAAGTAATAGATATGTTTCTGATGAAAATCTGGATAAAGGGCTATGGGGAGCAGGCAGGAAAGTGGAGTTGAGACTAGGATAAGATCAGCCATGATTGTGTTAAATGACAGAGTAGACTCAAAGGAATGAATTGCCTACTCCCACTCCCAATTCCGAAGTTCCTATGACAAATTGACTATTATTGACCAAGGTGTTGCCTTGGAGAAATCAATACGCTCACCAAGGTGCACGTTGAGAGCAGAAATTGCCAGAGAAACTCAGCAGATCTGTCAGAATCTGTGGGGAGAAAGAACAGTCATTGTATTAGGTCCAGTGACCGTTCATTAAAAAATGGGTGAGAACACGTAGAGAGGGAGTACATACATAGAAGGTGAGAACATTTTTTTGTTTGCAGTAAAGGGGTTGTTACATTTGAATGTATGTCATTTCTAGTGTTAAGCAAGTGTAAATGAGGTACATTACAAGCTCAAGGACAAAAACAGAAGTTGCTGGAAAAGCAGGTTTGACAGCATCTATGAAGAAAAAATCAGAGTTAACGTTTCAGGTCTGGTAACCCTTCCTCAAAACAGTTCTGAGGAAGAATCACCAGACCTGAAACGTTAACTCTGATTTTTTCTCCACAGGCACTGCCAGACCTGCTGAGCTTTTCCAGCAACTTCTGTTTTTGTTCCTGATTTACAGCATCCGCAGTTCTTTTGGTTTTTATTCACAGTACAAGCTTAACTGATTACCTTCAATTTCTCTGTAGCTACACAGATGCCTCTTGATTTTGAATTCTTCCATTCAAAATAAATCACTTTGCGCTTCTCTGCATTAAATTTCATCCTGCTTCTGTCCCTTCCATCAAGGTGTATATGTTCTTTTCAAGTTTAAAATTATCTTCCACATAGTTCACCATACCTCCAAGTTTTGTGTCTTCCACAAACTTTGAAATTGTGGCCTTTCTGCCAAAGTCTAGTTCAAGATGATCTAACAAAAGCATGCATCCAACCACTGACCCTGAGTAAACGTACTATAATAATTTCTCCAGGCTACTACACATTGTCATTGGACTTGAGTTGTCAACTTGGTTCCTCTCACAAATGCTACCAAACCTGTTGAGGTTTTCCTGCACTTTCTGTGTTCATTTGATAACCATGCACCACTACTCTCTTTCCTGTCAATCAGGTATTTATTTTTATTCATATTATTACCATCTCTTTTACTATTTTTGCTCACAGATGTGTTATGCAGTACTTTAACAGAAGCCTTTGGAGGTCCATGTACATCACATCAACTGCATAGCCTAATTTTTGTTCTTTATTACCTCACAAAAGAAATTCACACAAACTTATGATATTCTTTAGATTGTAAACAGTGTCAGATTCTGAGCTGTTAAATATGTATTGACAGCACAATTAACATTGCATTTATTCTATTTATAGGTTGTGGCTCCTACATGGATCTTGTGATAGTACTGGATGGATCCAACAGTATCTGGCCTTGGGAACCAGTCCAAAATTTTCTGAAAAAGTTAACTGGAAGTTTAGACATTGGCCCTGAGAAAACTCAGGTAACTTCATTTGTTTCACTTTTGGCACTTAGAATCATAGAATCCTGGAATCCTAGAGTGTGGAAACAGGCCATTCGGCCCAACAAGTCCACACTGCCCCTCCGAAGAGCACCCCATCCAGACCCATTCCCTTACCCTTTCCCTATAACCTGGCATTCCCCATGTCTAATCACCTAACTTACACACCGCTGGACACTACGTGCAATTTAGCATCGCCAATCCACCTAACCTGCACATCTTTGGACTGTGGGAGGAAACTGGAGCACCCGAAGGAAACCCACGCAGGCATGGGGAGAATGTGTAAACTCCACACAGACAGTTGCCCAAGGCTGGAATTGAACCCTTGGTGCTACGAGGTAGCAGTGCTAACCACTGAGCCTTGGCTTTCTAAAATATGACTTTACCAAGGATCTGGATATTAGTTTCTATTATGTGCATTGTGCATGTCAGTATCTGTCACAAAATAAGAACAAAGTGTATGATGGTTTATAATTAATTATACCTGCATACTATTAATTAATCAAAGATTTAAGAAAGGCTGAAACTGCGATCAACTCTTATGCAAAATAGCATTTCAGGCTCTGCTTTTGGGCGTGGCAACTAGTTCTGTTTGACTAAGACACTGATGCAGTTGGCTTGGACATGGGACAGAACAGTTGAGATTTTAAATGAACCCAGCAGCCAATTGCATCTAGCATGATGTAGTTCCAATAAAAGAGGATAAATGAAAAGGCAGCTTTAATGCAACCACCTATATTCCCTGTAGTACTTTACTCCCATTTCACTTTGAAAAATTGGTCTCTAACTTTTTCCAGTTCTGATCAGACATGATCAAACTGGAATATGAACTCTGCTCCTCTTGCCATCTGCTGAGCATTTTCAGCATTTTCTGTTTTTACTTCAGATGTGGCCACTTTATACAGAATGTAGTGAATGTGTGGAGTGGACAGTCGAAGAAGGCAGCAGGGGTGGAGTGAATTAGTAAATTCAAGGGAGTGTTAGAAACATTGGTAAATATTTGCCAACAGGATGTGAGTTGTATTGATGATAGATTATGGTTGAATACCTGTCTGACACATTGTACATTTTCACTTGAATTGACCCAAAAAAAGTCCTCCTGTCATTTTGTCCATGAAAGGTAATTTACACTGATTGCTCCATATAGGTGTCTATTGTACAATATGGTGAAGATGTGAGATTTGAATTCAAGCTGAATACTTACAAAACAACAGCTGAAGTTGAACAGATTGCTGCAAAAATCACACAAAAGCAAGGAACAGAAACAAACACAGCTCGGGGAATCAACTTTGCAAGGTAAACCATGCCTCAAAGCCAGGTGTATTAGTTATTTTTGATTTGAAGGAAAAATATTGTCAATGTAATTCAGAATGTCAGTGGCAGCATCCACTCAGCCAGTCTTGGAAGCTTCAGCTGACTTCTAAGCTACCACTGATTGTCTGCAGTTGAGGTTTCTGATGAGTAGTTGTCCCAATCCCCTTCAAAAGCCGCTGGTCAGATTATCAGTTCTTCAGTCCCAGCAGAGCCACTAGGCTGGGTGGTCACTGCAGAGATGAAGCAAGGCACAGGTCAGACAGCTTCAATAAGCCCTGGTGTGTAGGAAAGCCAAGTTAGGGTCACCAGGGCCCACAGATTGGCACTGGCCAAGGCTCGCAATGTTTTTTTTATTCTTTCATGTGATGAGGGAACCACTGTCTAAACCGCCATTTACTGCCCATCCCAGTCGGCAGTTAGGAGTTAACCACATTGCTGTAGGTCTGGAGTCACAAGTATTCCAGACCAGGTAAGGATGGCAAAATACCTCCCTAAAGGACATTAGCGAACCAGATAGGTTTTTCTGACAATCAACAATGGATTCATAGTCATTATTAGGCTCTTCATTTCAAACTTTATTGAATTCAAGTTCCACCATCTGCCATATGAACCTGGGTCCCCAAAATAATACCTGGGTCTCTGGATTAACAGTCCATTGATAATGCCATTAGGCCATCACCTCCCCTATTGGGGGAGATGTGCAGCAAGAAGTTTAAGAACTGCCGCAAATGGTAGTGACCTGGAACTCCCTGTCCAGGTAGGTGGTTCATGGCTTTGGAAATCATGCAAAGTACTAGGATTGACAGGATTTCTCCATAATAGGCTACCATGGATAGAATGATCTCCTGTGATGGAAATGATTTTATGACTGTAAACGATGCAGTTTACCTATGGTTAATTATTCTGAGATGATATTCTATTTTGCAGGCCTCCACCAGTGGGTTTGCAATGGGGTCCTGTATAATTCTCCAAGTACGGTCGCCCTCCCTGCTGCCAACCACCAAACTGCCATTTAATAGGATTGGACAAGGCCCAGTTAATCCACAAGCACTTGCCCCAGTTGATGATCCTCAGTAGCCAATTAATAGTAACTTGACACCACCAATCCTACTTCCCCACCGCCCCCACCCCACCCTGGACAGGTCATACCGCTTGGGTTTAATGTGGAAGTGAGGGATGGGGATTGGCGGAGGGGTAAATATTTCCATCACTGGCTCTCTTTCAAGATTCAAACTCCCACTTACCACTCCTAAGGTTGAGTTGAGCTGCATTCCTAAACCATTACAATCCTTGGGGCGGCACCCACAATCAGTTAGGAAGGCAGTTCCAGGATTTTGACTCAGCAGCAGTGAAGCAATAGCGATATATTTCCAAGTCAGGTTGATGTGTGATTTAGAGGGGAAGTGCTGGTGGTGGAGTTGTCATGCATCTATTGCCTTTATTATTCTAGTTGATAGTGTTTGTAGATTTGGAATACTAGCTGAGCTCCAATGGAAATTCTCTCAAGTAGTTTAATGTTCTGATGTTTAGCAATTTAATGTCCTTTTAAGGCCATTATACAGGCCATTGTTTTGAAGAAGTGTTTCAACTAGATATAATTATAGTTCCTTCTGTGTCCTCCTATAATTTCATCAAAATCCATTCTAGGATACCTCAAAATCAGAACAAAAAATGTCAGAACACAAATGACTTTACCTCTTTTTTTGCATATGTGTTCAAATACTGTTTAGTTAGGAATATTTATACAAATTGTAACTTGAAGTGTTGTCGAGTCTGATATAGGCTTTAATTGTTTATATAAGTAGATTGGTAATGATGCAACAAAATTTGGCCCTCAAGGACATCACTTAACTTTTGACATGGAAATATGGATAATTTAAATAAACAACAGCAAAGCAACTATGAATAATGACTCGAGCAGGAGCCCATGCTAGGCTGTAGACCTTTAACTGAACTAACTTTTAATCGTAGCATTGACAATCAATATTATTGGCCCAGGTGAAAATGTACAGCCTATTCTAGGCCTTATACTTCATGTAATTCATATTTCCTTACAAATTAACTCACATGATGCTCAACTGTATGTTGATGAAATACGTACTTTGTGGTGTTAACTTGTAAAATGAATAAGGGTAATTAACTTTGGCAGCAGATTGAGTGAAAGTGGATTAGTTCTGTTCTTTGCAATGTATTAAACCATTTTGTCATATTTCAGGGAATATGCATTCTCACCTCAAAATGGTGGAAGACCAAAAGCAACAAAAGTAATGGTTGTTGTAACAGATGGTGAATCTCATGACAGCGCCAACTTGCCACAAGCAATAATTGAATGTGAGAAAGAACACATTGTTCGATTTGGGATTGCTGTAAGTATATGTCAATGTGTTTTATGTCATCAAATTATATACTCATTTTTTAACAGGTATGAAATATTTAATAAATTTATGCATTGCACAGTAGGAGGTCCATTCCATGCTCTGGAATTTCAATTTATTGCGACAGTTAAAGAAAATCATTAGCTGTGAAGTCAGTGCTGGATATATCAGCAGACCAATGTTTAACATAGGCAAGTGACAGTCCTCTGTCACATTCTTATTTTTCTCTGTTATCACATTCTTTTCTGGTAAATGGATACAAATGTTGTTAAAATTGCAGGGAATAGGACTATCATGCAATCTTTAACATTCATTGAATGATACTGCCAGCTTTAATTTTACATTTGTCTATTTTATGAAGTCCAGTACAATGGGCTTTATTCCCAAATTGCTTTAGATAATTAGAACTTGTGTCACAAAACAATAACAAATGTTAAAATGTATTGGTTTGCAGATGAAGAAAAACAACCAACCAACTCATTAATTCGCACCCAAGTTAAAATAACTGGTATTCCTTCATTAATATCACTAATCTATAGATGCAGTTAGTCAATGTTCGATGCTGTTGGTCACTATTTTGGATTTTGACACATGGCAGTAAAATACCTGCATTGAAAGTCCAATTTACACAATATACTTTTTATGGCATTGTTATCACTGGCTGTCCCTCAATTTGAGGATCATTTCTACTTAGCTTCATTGATTTCTACTCTGGATCTTCATGTGACTGAGCAGAATGATTCTCAACAAAGATCTTTGAACACATGTCTTATAGTGGAATATAAAGTGCAGAATCACATCCCTTTATTTCCTTTTCTGCCAGTACTCTGCCTCATCATTAGGGTGCTTAGACTTGAGACATGATGCAGTTTGATGGACAAATTGTCACCAGTTTGAACGGTTGGTAACAAGCTGTTCCCAGTCATTAATGCCAACGTTGTCATGCATCAAGAAGAGCTTCAGTACGATTTTGTAGCATTTTCTTTATCTTTGCTGAAATGTTGGCCATTTGAGTGTTGAGTAAACAAGACCTGACTGGGGAGACATTCTTCAGCTTGCAGGATAGCCTGTCCATTCAATCATGGTATATTTTGAAGGAATTTTACATGAATGCTTGTGGAGTTGATTTCAAGAAGAACAATAGGGTTTGCTCAGTGGTGCTCCCATTTAACCTGGAGACATTGCTGGTGCCCTCATGTGTTGCTGATTCACAGTCCATTTCTTGCTGCAGTACAGGACTAAGGTGGTGACAAGATAAAAACCGAAAGAACTGCAGATGCTGAAAATCAGAAAGAAAAACAGAAGTTGCTGGAAAAGTTCAGCAGGTCTGGCAACATCTGTTAAGAAAGTGGATATTAGTGGCAAGTCTATCTCTAGAAATGGAAACAGAAATGTCAAGGAAGGGAAAGGAGGAGTCAGAAATAGATCAGGTGAAAGCGAGGGTAGGGTGGAAATTGAAAGCAAAAGCAATGAACTTTTCCAATTCTGGACGAGAGAGGGAAGCAGCACCAAAGATATCATCGATATATCAGAGAAAGAATTGTGGGTGAGGGCCAGAATAGGACTGAAACAAGGAATGTTCCACCTACCCCACGAGGAGACAGGCATAACTGGGGCCTATGTGGGTACCCATGGCCACCCCGCTGACCTGAAGAAAATGAGAGGAGCTAAAAGCGAAGCTGTTGAGAGTGAGGACGAGCTCAGCCAAGCGGAGGAGAGGGGGTGGGGACTGTTCAGGCCTTTGCTCCAAGAAGAAGCGGAGATCCCTGAGACCATTTCTAGGGATAGACTGGCCACTAATATCCACTATAAACCTACTGACTCGCACAGCTACCTGGACTATACACCATCACACCCTGCTTCCTGTAAAGATTCCATCCCATTCTCTCAGTTCCTCCATTGCTGTCGCATATGTTCAAATGAGGCCAACTTCGACAAGGGAGCTTCTGAAATGTCCACCTTCTTCCTCAACCAACGATTTCCCCAGCTTTGTTGTCGACAGGGCCCTCAACCCTGTCTGACTCATCTCCCACACTTCGACCCTCACCCCCTCTCTTCCTTCCCACAACAGCGATAGGGTTCCCCTTTTCCTTACCTACTATCCCACCTGCATCCACATCCAGAAGATCATCAGATGTCATTTCCACCATCTCCAGCGAGATACTACCACCAGACACACATTCCCCTCCCCTCCCTTGTCTGCCTTCCATAGGGATCATTTCCTCTGGGACAGCCTGATCCACTCTTCCTTCACCCCCAACATCACCCCCAACCCCTCCTCCCCCATAGCACCTTCCTCTGCAACCGTCAAAGATGTAACACCTGCCCATTTAACTCCTCCCTTCCCAGTATTCAAGGGCCCAAACATACCCTCGAAGTGAACCTGCACTTCCTACTGCATTCGCTGCTCACAAAATAGTCTCCTCTATACTGGGGAAACAAAGCGCAGACTGGGTGACCGCTTCACAGAACATCTACGTTCTGCTCGCAAAACTACACCCTGAGCTTCCAGTTGCCTGCCACTTTGACACATGTTACCTGGCCAACACCCCAGACTCAGGAGGACTATGCAGCCCTCCGGACTCAATATCAATTTCAATAATTTTAGGGCCTGAACTCTCCCTAGCTCCCTACCCCACACACCAGGTCTTGTTATCACAGAGTCTGCCATGACATACTACCTATTGTTAGTCAGTAACAGTCTCCATTAACAGATATTCACCCTTCCAGTCAGGTTGTTATCAACTCCTTTGCCTAACCCTTCCCTCCCCACCTTTATTTGCTTTCCGGAGGGACCACTCTCTCTGTGACTCCCTTGTCTGCTCCACACCCCCCTCCAGCCCCACCACACCCGGCACTTTTCCCTGCAACCGCAGGAAGTGCTACACCTGCCCCCCGACCTCCTCCCTCACCCCCATCCCAGGCCCCAAGAAGACTTTCCACATCAAGCAGATGTTCACCTGCACATCTGCTAATGTGGTATACTGCATCCGTTGTATCCATTGTGGCCTCCTCTACATTGGGGAAACCAAGCGGAGGCTTGGGCACCGCTTTGCAGAACACCTACGCTCGGTTCGCAATAAACAACTGCACCTCCCAGTCGCGAACCATTTCAACTCCCCCTCCCATTCCTCAGACGACATGTCCATCCTGGGCCTCCTGCATTGCCATAACGATACCACCCGAAGGTTGCAGGAACAGCAACTCATATTCCGCTTGGGAACCCTGCAGCCCAATGGTATCAATGTGGATTTCACAAGCTTCAAAATCTCCCCTTCCCCTATCGCATCCCAAAACCAGCCCAGCTCGTCCCTGCCTCCCTAACCTGTTCTTCCTCCCACCTATCCCCTCCTCCCACCTCAAGCCACACCCCCATCTCCTACTTACTAACTTCAGCCCGCCCCCTTGACCTGTCCGTCCTCCCTGGACTGACCTATCTCCTCCCTACCTCCCCACCTACACTCACCTTTACTGGCTCCATCCCCGCCTCTTTGACCTGTCTGTCTCCTCCCCACCTATCTTCTCCTCTATCCATCTTCTATCCGCCTCACCCTGTCTCCCTATTTATTTCAGAACCCCCTTCCCCTTCCCCATTTCTGATGAATGGTCTAGGCCCGAAACGTCAGCCTTCCTGCTCCTATGATGCTGCTTGACCTGCTGTGTTCATCCAGCACTACACCTTGTTATCTCTGCTCTTCTCTCTCTTTGGGCTCTATCCCCACCTATTGTTTACTTCTTACCTCCTCCCCCACTCTATCTTCTGCACATAAACCAATGTTTTCCCAGCTACCATCAGTTCTGAGGAAGGGTCACTGGACCCAAAAAGTTAACTCTGATTTTTCTTAGCAGATGCTGCCAGACCTGCAGCGCTTTTCCAACAACTTCTGTTTTTCTTCCTAATTTCCAGCATCCGCAATTCTTTCAGTTTTTGTTTTGTCGTCACCTTAGTTCTGTACTGCAGCAAGAAATGGACTGTGTATCAGCAACATCTTTTCCAGCAACATCTGTTTTTGTTCCTTGTAAGGTGATGACAGCTGTTTTGTACTCCCAGACTTTTGTTGATTTGTGGAGGGCATTGTTGTCAAACGCACCCTGATATCATTTGCAGAAAGCAGAAGTAGCACAGGTATCCAGTGTTGGATCTCCCTATTATTAATGGCCTTTTGAGAGATGGCTGCCAAAGTATGGGAAGTTCTCAACATACTCCTTCAACATATATGGGTGTGGAACAGTTTTCCGGCTACTCTTGGATGGATACAATAAAACAAAGGACTGCAGATGCTAAGAATATGAAACAAGAAACAGACGTTGCTGGAGAAACCCAGCAGGTCTGACAGCATCTGTGGAGAGAAAAAACAGAATTAGCGTTTCAAGTCTGTTTTTGTCTGTTTTATTTTACTGGGATGATGTGAGTTTAGCTTCAGAAACATTCAAGGATAACCAAGTTTTTAGTTTGCAGAAATTAAGGGAACAAGAATGGCTTGCAAATCTGGTGCAGACTGGCAACGTGAATGCAGTCATCTGCAAATTATGGACCATATATGTTTATGGTAGCTTAGTTTTGGTATGAGTGTTTTTCAAATACGAGATGTTTAATACTGACATCAGAAGGTAATTGATTTTTGATGAGGTAAATACCTGCTGTCAGGTGAATTGTAAATAAATAAGGGCTAACTTTATTGATCTTAGTAGGATAACAGGTCGGCACAACATCATGGGCCGAAGGACCTGTACTATGCTGTATTGTTCTATGTTCTATGTTCTATATGACTCTAGATTTTTGAAGGTGTCCCTTTCAGATCTCCTACTCAGGCAGTCACTGCCTTATCATTGTGAAACAGTTACAGAAATGAAATTTCTTGCACATTCAAATCTTTGAACCACAATCAACAAACGTTATAATATATTGTGCTTCATGTAGTGGCCAGACCATGATGTGCAATGAACAGTTTCTGGCGTTGTTCCTGGCATTTTTTAAAATCTTTGCTCCCAGGTAAATCCATGTTGGAAATTTATCTGAAAGATCTGAAGCCACACGATCTCTGGGAGGATTTCATCATTACAGAAAGGCTTGGATTTAGCCTAGATGGAGAGGCTCTCCATTTTTCAAAAATAGCACCAGAGGCAAGAATCTGGAAATCCCACCCTGAATCCAGCCCCCAGCATTTTTGCAGAAGCTGAATAGTTCTAATTTGAACACCGCCCTATGGTTCACAAAGGCAGCTGTACATGTTAAAAGTGTAACTGCCTTCAGTCAAAGCTTTTTTACACTTTTAGGATGTTGAAAACATAACTTGTACACTTTAGATCTGCTGGAAGAGGTTTGAAGCTCTGAAAGGCTTTTGAGGAGGTAAAATACCCTTTGGAAATGGTCTAGGAATGCCATTGGGAGAGATCATGTACTCTTTGGGAGAGAGGTCACATACTCTTTAAGAGAGGTAAGGTGCCTTATGGGATTTCTGAAAGAGTACATGAATGTGTGTAAGAAGTGCATGATCTCTTTGAAACTCAGGTTCGTTGGTGCTGTCAAGTGAACAGTCAGAGAGAGGTGTGAAACTGTCAATTCAATTAAATTTCTGTCTTTTAATACGTGAAAGCAAAAGCAAAAAAAGTTGTAGACTTGTTCGCCGAGCCGGTGAGTTTGGTTGCAGATGTTTTGTCATGCTGCTAGGTAATATTGTCAGTGCGCCTCCGGTGAGGCGTTGGCGTTCTGTCCTGCTTGTTATTTATAAGCCTCAGTTTGCTGGGGCGGTTGGTATCACTTCCGGTTCTGTTTTTCAGTGGTTTGTACATCGGGTCCAGTTCAATGTGTTTGTTGACGGAGTTCCGCTTGGAATAGCAGGCCTCCCGGAATTCCTGGCATGTCTCTGTTTGGCTAGTGCTATTATGGATCTGTTGTTCCAGTCGAATTTGTGTCCTTCTTTGTCCGTGTTTATTGAGACCAGTGAGAGCTGAAATACTTAGTAGACAATACTACCCACCCTATCCACGTCTCCCAAGAATTCCTCAACATCATCAAGGACACCAGGATAGAAGAGGATGACATAATGATATCTTTTGACATAATTGCACATCGACCTAGCCAAAGAGACAATTGCCACACTGCTGGACAAATCAGGAAGGCAGATACCCCATGACACCAACAGCATCGACAAGGACAGTGCCCTGAAACTGCTGGATCTGTATCTTACAATGCACTTCACCTTCAATGACTGCATATTCAAACAAATCAACGGAATACCAATGGGATTCCCACTCTCAGGACTGATAGCAAAAGGGGTAATACAAAGATTAGAATGGACAGTGTTCCCCACTATACAACACAAACTCTGGGTCCACTATGTAGATGACACCTTCGTGATTATCAAATGCACAAGACTAGAAGAAACCCACTGACACATAAACAACATCCTCACCAGAATAAAATTCATGAAAGATGAAGAAAACAATAACCGATTACCCTTCCTAGACGTAATGATGGAACGTAAGAACAATGGGGAACTCTAGTCCAGCATATACAGAAAGACCACCCATACTTAATACAAATACTTAATTACACCAGCAACTACCCCAACATTCATAAACGGAGGTGCATCAGGAAATTATTCAAATGAGCCACAACACACTGCAGTAACCTGGAACTGCGCAAAGCAGAATAGAAAACTTATACGGAGTTTTTAAAAGGATTGGATACCCTTAAAGCACAATCGGCCGTTACCTCAGCAACAGATCACAACAAGACGACACAACATGGCCAGACACACTAGTCACCCTACCGTACATCAGTGATATATCAGTGAAGACCACAAGGCTGCTCAGACCCCGAGGTATCAGGGTAGCCCACAAACCAACAACCACCCTGCGACAGCTACTGGCAAACGTAAAAGATCCCATAACCACAACCAATAAAACCAACAGAATATACAAAATACCATTCAAGGACTGTGAGAAACATTACATAGGCTAAACTGGAAAAAACCGACAATAAGGATACACGAACACCAGCTAGCTACCAATTGAAATGACCTGTTCTCACCGGTCTTAGTACACATGGACAAAAAAGACACAAATTCAACTGGAACAACACATCCATAATTGCACAAGCCATACAGAGACATGCCAGGGAATTCCTGAAGGCCAGGTATTCCAACCGGAACTCCATCAACAAACACATTGAATTGGACCCAATATTCGAACCACTGAAAAACAGAACCGGAAGTTATACCAACCACCTCAGCAAACCGAGGCATATAAATAACAAGCGGGACAGAACACCCACGCTTCACTGGAGGCACGTTGATGATGTTATCTCGCAGGCTGATGAAACATCTGCAACCAAACATACCAGCTCGGTGAGCAAGTCTACAACCTCATCCATAACCCGAGCTACAAATCTTCTCAAAAGCTTTGAAAAGCAAAAAGGTTAACATAGGAGTTAAAAAGTGTGATTATGATGGATTTGGAGGCTTAGGTCAGCATAGGTATTAAGTGTGATGGGGGTAGGTAGAGGAGTATAAATTGGCATGAGAAACCGTACATGGAGGACAGAGGGGCAGAGGTTGTTATAGAGTTTATGTCAGACTCTGCAGGGTGGCTTGAGGGCATAAGGTGGCAGGGTCCAGCATGGGTTGGGCATAGGAATATGTACAGGAGTAGAGTGGTGAGGGCTGAAGGAGTGTTTTTGTGTATCATTCTTTTTATCATTGTGCCAGAGAACTGAGATGGTTCTTTTCCACAAGCTGCCGATTCGTCTGGCAGCCTCTGTGGCTGCCTCAAACTCCCTCCAGATGGTGATGGACCCCGTTCTCATCTCATCAAGTTGCTCCATCCAGAACATCCAAGCTCTTTTACTTGCATTGGATGTGTGCTATTGTCCTGACTCTGTGCTTACCACTTGGGTGCCAAAGTTCAAACAGATGTAAGGATTGTCATTTCATGTCAGGATTTTCTCTGCTCTGGACAAGACAGAAATGCCTCAATAGCTTTCACAGCCTGACTGAGCTCTCTTATTGAAGATGCTCCCACTGTTATAATCTTGAAATCAGGAGAAGGTTCGTTTTCCTCCCAAATCTGTAAGGTCATTGCATGGAGTCTTGAGGTGAGGAGCAGTCCTCCATGTTCAACTGGAAGACCATCAGGGTTGCAAGCTTTTTGTTTCTTCCTTTATTTGATTGCTTGTTGTTGCTCTTTTATTGATGATGATTCACTTATGCGTTCTGGCACAAACAATGGGGATATCGGCTGCCATGTTTACGGTGTTGTTGGAAACATTCCTTCCAGTATTAATGAATGGCATTGTCATCCTTAAGAAGAGAGATACCATCCTGCAAGCCAAGGGGGATTTTGTCCTCACAACCTTAGTCTAGATTTGCCATGTCCCTGCCCAAACTGTTCTAGTATAGCTACAACTCTGGGATCTACCCAGCAATGTGGAAAATTGCCCTGTTCACAAAAGGTAGGACAAATTCAACCTGGCCAGTTACTCATCCTCTTAGTCTACTCTTGGTCATCAGCAAATTGAAAGGGTGAAACAAAAACAGAGATCTCCTCACAGATGCTGCCAGTTTCTCCAGTAATTTCTGTTTTCGTTTCAGATTTCCAGCATCTGCAGTTATAGAGTTATAGGGTTATACAGCACAGCAACAGACTCTTCGGTCCAACCAGTCCGTGCTGACCATAATTGTTATAGTTCAGTGATGGAAAGAGTTATTGTCAGTGCTAACAAATGGAACTTGCTCAGAAATATCCTGCTTACTAATGGTTAGTTTGTGTTCTGCCAGGACTATTGACTTCCTGCCTTCAAAACCTATTTGAAATTGGAACAGTTAATAAAATTGTTTAATTCACTTTCATGTAATGGAATTCACTACTTTTATAACTTTTATAGGTTCTTGGATATTACAACAGAGAAGGAATAAACCCAGACAACTTAATCAAGGAAATCAAGTCCATTGCAAGTGACCCAAAAGAGAAGCATTTTTTTAATGTATCCTCGGAAGTTGCTTTGATAGAAATAGCTAGTGCTCTCAGAGAACGTATCATTGGTATTGAAGGTAAATCTTTATTTTTGTTTACTTCGAAGTATTCTGTTTTCTTTTATTTTTATTTCACTCTAAAGGTTTCAATTTTAAACTGCTAACCCATCTGAAGGGATGCTACAATGACGCTGTGTGTAGTTTTGGACCATAGAAATTTTGAGGAATTAGTCAGTGCTTAACATATAGTTTTCATACAACACTTCCTCTGTCAGGAATTCGGGGGAAAAATGTCTTGCAAAATTGGGGCTGTTTTCAGTAGAATAGAAGAGATTATAGGATGATTTGGTTATTTGGGGCTTATGCCAAAGTTGAGGAAGATAGAACAAATTCTCCAGAATTAGAGAATTCAAGTGACTAAGAAGAATGAGGAATTGAAGGAAATTAGTATTATTAAGAGATTATAGTTGAGAAATTTATAGGGCTGTAAATTGATTATCTATATCCCAGTGTTGAAAGAGCTGGTTACAGATAACCAATGTGTTAGTAATCATCTTCCAAAATTCCATCCACTCTGGAATGATTCCTGCAGATTGAAAGCTTGAAAATGTCACTCCACTATGTAGGAAAGAAGCAAGAGAAAAATACAGGGAACTACCGACCTATCAGCCTTAACATTTGTAGTAGGGAAAATATTAGAACACATGGACTATGTTGCAGTTGCACAGGACATCAATGAGGCAACTTTTGGAGTACTGTGTGCAGTTCTGGTCAACCAGGTAGAAGGACAGGGATAGTAGGAGCTGCTGATGCTGGAGTCTGAGATAACAAGGTGTGGAGCTGGATGAACACAGCAGGCCAGGCAGCATCTGAGGAGCAGGAAAGGACAGGGTTCAGAAGCAGGATGTTGCCGGGAATGGAGGGTTTCAAAAATAGGCTGGATAGACTGGGACCTTTTTTTTCGCTGGGGCGTAGGAGGTTGAGGGTGACGTTATATGAGTTTGAAAATCATGAGGGCAATAGATAAGGTAAATAGCAAGGTTCTTTTCCCTCGAGTGGGGGAGTTCAAACTAGGGAACATATTTTAAGGTGAGAAGAGAAAGTTTTATAAAGGACAGAGTGGGGAAACTTTCTTACACTGAGAATGGTTCGTGTGTGGAATGAATTAGATGAGGGTACAGTTACAACATTTTAAACGCATTTGAATAAGTACATGAATAGGAAACGTTTCAAGGGATATGGGCCAAGTGCAGGCATGTGGGACTAGGATCTGTTTCCATGCTGTATAACCCAATGACTTTATGTTTTCTATGACTCCGTAACTGTTCTGTATTCTCTAGAGTTTCAAAGAAAGAGAGCTGATCTCATTGAAACCTATAGAATATCTAAAAGGACAGACAGGGTAGGTTCAGGTAATATGTTTCTTTTGGTCCAAAGATGTGCAGGTTAGGTGGCTTGGCCATGCTAAGTTGTCTGTGGTGTCCAGGGATGTGCAGGCTGAGTGGATTAGGCATGGGAAATGTCGAGTTACAGGGATGAGATAGGGCGTAGAATATGGGTGGGATGTTCTTCAGAGATTCGGTGTGGACTTGATGGACAAAATGGCTTGCTTCCACACTGTAGAGATTCTATGATTCTATGGTTGGGGAGTCTAGAACTGGCGTCACAACTTAAAAACAATGGGGATTTAGGACTTAATTGAGAAGTAATGTTTTGGTCAGAGGATGGTGAATCTTTGGAATTCTGTACTCCGGGGGGTTGTGGACGCTCAGCCTTTGAGTATACTTAAAGTGGCAGTGGATATTTTTTTGTTATTAATGGCATAAAGGGTTATGGGATTAGTGGGGGTGAAAGACACTGAAGTATTCAATCAATCATAATGGTATTATTTAGTGCAGCAGACTTGACATACTGAATGGCCTACTCCTATTGCTACGTTCCTGTGGGAAACCTATTTAGAGACAAATCGAGCAATAGTTTGAGATTGGCTGCAAAGTATGGTTCCATGAGTATGACTCGATGCCAGACATCAGTATCCTTGGTTATGACTTGTCCCAATAGCAAGGCAGACCCACAGCAGATAGTAGCACAGTGATATGCAGTTGGTAAGGTTTTGCTGGTAATCCTCAACGTTGACTTCAGACCCCCCTGAATTCTCATAGCATTAGGTGAAACGTGAGCATGGAAACTTCTTGCTGATTATCACTATCCACCTGCCCATCGGCTCATGAATCAGGTTTTCTCCATGATAAATACCACTTGGAGAAAGCATTAAGGGTGTCAAGGGCACAGAATGTTCATGGGGTGGGGGACTTCAATCACCAAGAGTGGTTCAGTAATACTACTTCTGACTGAACAAGTCATAGCTTTTAGTTTGGGGCTACATGAGGCTCTGTGGGTCATCAGCAGAATTGTATTCAACCACAAGCTGTAACCTCACTTCTTAGCATAACTGTCAGTTTACCCTTAACACCAAGCCGGGAGATCAACCACTATTTAATAAAGAGTGCAGGAGAGAATACTAGGAGCATTATCAGGCATTCCTAAAAGTGAGGTATCAATTGGTGAAGTTACAATACAGGACTAATTGTATACCAAACAACAGAAGCAATAGACATGGATCTACAGCCCTGTGACATTCAGTCATAAATGTGGTGCACAATTAAACAACCAACATGAGGTGGAGGCTCAACAAATATCCCCTGAATCAATGATAGGGAGATCAGCACAGTAGTGTAAAAGATGAAGCTAGAGCATTTAGGTCAGCACAGTGGCTCAGTGGTTAGCACTGCTGCCTCACAGCACAAAGGACCCAGGTTTGATTCCAACCTCAGGTGACTGTGTGGAGTTTGCACGTTCTCCTCATGTCTGCATGGGTTTCCTCCCACAGTCCAAAGATGTACAGGTTAGGTGGACTGGCCATGCTAAGTTGTCCCCTAGTGTCCAGAGCTGTTTAGGCTAAATAGATTAGCCTTGGTAAAATGTGGGATATGGGATATGGTGGGGAGCAGGTCTGGATGGGCTGCTCTTTGGAGGGTTTGTGCAGACTTGATGGGCCAAATGGCCTCCTTCCACACTGTAGGAGATCTATGATTCATTTGTATAATTTTCACCCAGACGTATTGAATGGATGATCCAAGACAATATTCTGGTGCCAATTTTCAAGAGCCAGGAAATCTAGTTGGCTGATCAAAATTACTCAAAAGTATGACAGTAATAACAGAATATAGGATAAATATAGGTAACTTACAGTTGTGTAAAAGCATATTTTCATGATTTCATTCTTCTAGGAACAAGCAATAAAAATGAAGAGAGCTTCCTACTGGAAATGGCGCAAGTTGGATTCAGTGCACACTTTGTACCCAGCCAGGTATTCATGTTTTTTTGGGATGGTTTTTCAGTCTCTGTTACTACCATCAAAATCAAGAATTAATTGAGGAAGTTTTGCTGAAATTAGAAGTATGTTGTTCTAGAAATTAGAAGTATGAAGTCCTAATTAAACACCCAGATGTTTTGAAGGTCTAGAAACTATCAAAGGAGCCAAGGCCACCTTGCATGTTGACCAGGAAGCAATTCCATGATTCTGCAAGGCCTGCCCAGTGCCATTTTCCTTATGGTGAGGCAATGGCCTAGTGGTATTATCGCTGGACTGTTAATCCAGAGACCTGGATAACATTCTGGGGACCTGGGTTTGAATCCTACCATGGCAGATGGTGGAATTTGAATTCAATAAAAAAAATCTGGAATTTAGAATCTAATGGTGACCATGACTCCATTGCCGATTGTCGGGAAAAACCCATCTGGTTCACTAATGTCCTTTAGGGAAGGAAACTGCCATCCTTACCTGGTCTGGCCTACACGTGACTCCAGACCCACAGCAATGTGGTTGACCCTGAACTGTCCTCTGAGCAATTAGGGATGGACAATAAATGCTGCCGAGCCAGCAACGTCCTCATCCCGTTAATGAATAAAGGAAAAATAGAGGCAGAAATCAGAAGGCTGGAGAGCGAAAGAATCATCAAACCAGTTCAGTTTGTGGAATGGGGCAACCCTGGTCACACCGATTGTGAAGCCTGGTGGGTCGGTTCGCCTTTGTGAGGATTTTAAACAAACAATATATTGCTTTTCGCAGCTGGTTAAGTACTTAATCCCTCACATAGAGGATTTATATACAAAGCTGGCAGGGGTTGCTGTCCTTCGCAAAGCTGGAGATAAGCCATGTGTACTTGCAATTGTGGTTAGATAAGGATTCCCAGAAATATGCTGCAATTCATACACATAAGGGTTTGCACCAATACAGAAGACTGCCATATGGGGTATCATCAGCCTGTACAATTCTTCAGCAGATGATTGAGAACATTTTACAAGGTCTACCCCGGGTCAACCATTTATCTAGATGATGCAAGGAAGACCAATAAGGAGCATTTACAGAACTTGGACGTAGTCCTTAGCTATTTCTCCCAGGGGAGGTATCTGCCTTAGAAGGGAAAAATATGTATTCCAGGCACCCCAAGTGACGTGTTTGGGCTATGGAGTCAACAAGACCATGTTACACCCGTTGGAAGATAAAGTGTGGACAAACGAGAGTGCCTCGGCTCCCATGTCTGTACCAGACCTTAGGTCGTTCCTTGGACTGGTGAACTATTACAGAAAGCTCATACATAACCTGGTCTCTATCCTGGCACCTTTGTATCAACTCTTAAAGAAAGGTCAGCCTTGGAAATGATTGTGTAGCCTAACCATAGCTTTAAATGAAGTGAAAAACAGCTATCATCCTCTAAGGGGTCGTCAAACTTTGATCCCAAGTGAGATCTGATACTGACATGAGATGCCCCCTGTATGGCATCAAGGTACTAGTAGCTCATAGTTGGCCCAATGGAGAGGAATGCTCAATGGCATATGCATCCAGAATGGTTAATGCAGAGCATAAATACACCCAGATAGAGAAGGAAGGTTTGATGGTCATATTTGGAGTGAGGAAGTTCCACCAATACCTTTACAGATGTAAATTTGTCATAATAAAAAACCACAAACTGCTGCTAGGTCTACTTAAAGAGGACAAGGCAGTGCCATCCATAACTTCAGGTCAAATTCAGCAGTGGACTGTAATACTAATTATGTATAATTACAAGTTGGAACACAGTCCAGGAGGCTAGGTAGCAAATGCAGATTCATTCAGCCACCTCCTGCTGGCAGATATATCTCCGGTGGTACTGCAATTGGAAGAGTCCATAACAGTTTTAAATTTTCTGGACTTCCAGTAACAGCTGACAATATCAGACTTTGGATGCAGCAATATCTGGTCCCAGTAAAACTGAAACAGCTGATGGTGATGAGGGAAACCAAAGGGCCACCACAACCAGAATTGAAACATTTTTGGACCAAGAGAGACCAGATCACAGTGGAGGACAGCATGTTATTATGGGGAGCAAGGGTGATTGTCCCAAACAAAGGTCTCTGCCAGATACTAACTAAACTCCAGCAAGGTCATCCAGGGGTTTCCAAAATGGAGATGTTGGCACGAAGTTACATGTGGTGGCCAAGATTGGATGCAGACATAGTTGGTGGGGCAGTGCCCAGAGTGCCAACAAGGACAGAAATTACCGCCAGCAGCTCCCCCACATTCATGGGAATTGTCAGGTCTTTTCATGGTCTCAATGTTCTTAGTCATTGCAGATGTTCACTCAAAGTGAGGGGTTGCTGGACTTGCACAAGTTCATTTGTCATACACGGGGACAATCATAGAAAAACTGAGCACATCTTTCGCAATACACACACTCCCGGAAGAGTGGGTCACAGATACGTGGCCATCATTTCCTAGCCAGGAATTTGAATATTTACTAAAGTCAAATAGTATTTGACATATAAGGACAGCTTTACATTATCCAGTGTTTAAAGCATTGAGTAATTTTAGTTTTGCACTTTAGTCAAAACAAACAACCTTTTTTTCAGGACTTGCTGATGTTGGGAGCTGTAGGAGCTTATGACTGGGCAGGCACAACAGTCCATAAATCATCTGACAAGATTACTATATTTGCAAAGAAAGTTTTTCAAGATATTCTGCAAGATAGAAATGACAGTTCATACCTAGGTAAGCTTTAATTTTATCCCACTCATTTTAACATCAAAGCTCTGTATTCATTCTGACTGACCAATTCAAACTAGGGCAAATAAGGAGGCATGTGCAAATTTTATTCTATTATAAATATTGAGCAAAATTTCCAATCAAGTCATGGCAGCCCTAGAAGCACTGACAGTTATAAATAAAATGAAATTAAACATCAAAGTGCAGCACTGTATAACAGTGGGCTGCAAGTGTACACTTGCAAATTTGTTGACACAAAATTCCTACCTTCATGGATCATTGTTAAGCTGAATCTAAATATTCCTCATAAGTAAAAAAAGCAAATAAAAAAACAGAATTCCCAAGCTTCTTTCACAGAACCTCTCACTGGTTTGATTTGGAACTACTCTGGTCCACAACTTGTTCAGTTCTGTCATTACTTAGATCTTAACTTCTTTTTAAGAAATGAGGCGATTGTTTTTCCATTTGTCTGAGGAATGGTTTGTTCCCAGCTGCAAAGAAGAGTAGGGAGCAGATAGCCATAATTTCAGCCTTTATCTCAACCAATGATTTCTGGGGTCACTTCACAAGTAGGTGTCTGGAGTAGTTGTATTGTCAGAGTAATGAGAAAGGCAGAAGACAACTGATCCTTCTGCGTGTTTCACCACTCAATCACATGATCCCAGCTCAATGAGTTGGGTTTCCAGAAAAGACTCAGAAGTTGCAAGAATTATTTCTGCTTTAAACTTACATGACCCACAAAAAGTAGAAAGTAAAAGCCTGAGAGGATAAGTGCTTTTTTTCCATCAGAGACTGCATTTCATTCAGATAAATGTGAGGTCTGCATTTTAGAAAGGCAAATCAGGGCAGGACTTATACAGTTAATAGTAAGGTCCTGGGGAGTGTTGCCAAACAAAGAGACCTTGGAATGCAGGTTCATAGTTCCTTGAAAGCAGAGTCACAGGTAGACAGGATAATGAAAAAGATGTTTGGAACACTCGCCTTTATTGGTCAGTGCATTGAGTATAGGAGTTCGGAGGTCATATTGTGACTGTATGGGACATTGGTTAGGCCATATTTGGAATACTGTGTTCATTTCTGGTCTCCCTGCAAGAGGAAAGATATTGTTACACTTGAAAGGGTTCAGAAAAGATTTACAAGGATGTTGTCAGGGTTGGAGGGTTTGAGCTATAGGGAGAGGTTGAATGGGCTGGGGGCTATTTTCTCTGGAGCATTAGAGGCTGAGGGTAAACCTTATAGAAGTTTATAAAATCATAAAGGGCATGGATAGAGTGAATAATCAAGGTCTTTTTCCCAGTGTAGGGGAATCCAAAACTAGAGGGCATAGATTTAAAGTGAGAGGGGAAAGATTTAAATAGAGCTAAGGGGCAACATATTCACGCAGAGGGTAGTGCATGTATGGAATGAGCTGATAGAGGAGGTGGTGGAAGCTGGTACAGTTACAGCATTTAAATGGCAGCTGGATGGGTATATGAACAGGAAGGGTTTAGAGGGATATGGGCCAAATGCTGGCAAATGGGACTAGATTAATTTAGGTTATCTGGTCGGCATGGATGAGTTGGATTGAAAGATCTGTTTCCATGCTGTACATTTAGAACATAGAACATAGTATAGTACAGCACAGTACAGGCCCTTCGGCCCACGATCTGGTGCCGAAATTTTACCCTAAACTTAAGGTCTATCTAACCCCCACCCCTACCTTATACTATCATCCATATGCCTATCTAATAGCCGCTTAAATGCCCCTAATGAGGCCAACTCCACTACCCTCTCCGGCAATGCATTCCATGCCCCAACCATTCTCTGAGTAAAGAGCCTACCTCTGACGTCTCCCCTACATCTACCTCCACTCACTTTAAAACTATGCCCCCTCGTAATAGCTACCTCACCCTTGGAAAAAGTCTCTGGCTGTCCACTCTATCTATACCTCTGATCATTTTGTACACCTCTATCGAGTTACCTCTCATCATTCGTCGTTCTAAAGAGAAAAGCCCTAGCTCTCTCAACCTTTCCTCGTAAGACCTTCCCTCCATTCCAGGCAACATCCTGGTAAATCTCCTCTGCACCTTTTCCAACGCTTCCACATCTTTCCTGTAATGAGGTGACCAGAACTGGACACAATACTCCAGATGTGGCTGAACCAGGGTTTTGTATAGCTGGAGCATAATTTCACGGCTCTATTTCTATGACTCTATGACTCTCTGACAGAAGCTCAGTGTTCCTCTCTTCTTTCAGGTTTTTATTTAGCAAAATATCCTTTGGCATGACTGTTAGGTAGGTTATACCGACTGTATATCGATGACCACTTCCATGCGCGAGGCCCTGAGAAGATTAATCCTAATCCACAATTATGGGGGATTTGATGAGGCCAGATTAAACAGACTTCAGATATCCTCATGCAAACTCAGAGAGTCAAAGGGGACAAGCCTAATAAGGCAAAAGTATTCAGATCGCCTCACCTGCCTACTAAACAAATGTGTATAACACATGTTTTATAATTATGAATAAATCAAGCATTTAAAGCACAATTTAAGAATTTGGACTATATTTATTTCATATATATTTTATATGTTTACTTCATTATGTATACTTTCACAACAGTTAATATTTTCTCTGATGATATATTACATGTATTTTTCTTCCCAGGTTACTCAGTGGCATCCCTAGTTACTAAATACTCTGTGCTCTATGTTGCTGGAGCACCACGTTTCCAACACACTGGACAAATAGTCATTTACACAGTGGGATTAAATGATGAAGTGGTAATTAAGCAGACCGCGAAAGGAGAACAGGCATGTACAATGCTGATCCCTTATTTTCTATTAAGATCATGATTGGCCTTCTGTATAATTGCATAGCCATCTGTTTCTGTTTTAGCGGACAATGGCAATGAAAGCACAACATGACTGCACTTCTTTTTAAGAAAAGAGAAACTAAGCTAATTAATGAGAAAGCCAAGCCTTCCATTCTGTGATTTGTCTGGGGAAGCCTTGCTTTGATTCAGCCTGCAATCTTTGACACCATAATAATTTTTGAACAGCAAACTACTTGCTAACTACAACTTTAGCTCATTCTTTGAAGCACCACCCACAAGTGAAATAAGAACCCGGGCTTGACATAGAGTCGCTCCCATGGCTGCAGAATAACAGGGAAAAATTTTCACTGTGCTTGACTGTTTGACAGGATGTGTCTATTTCCCTTTTACCAGGACAGTCCAGGTACATGACGTTTCTTTGGCTGGGCTGTGAGCTTCAAAAAAATCAAGAAAAAAATTAGATGCTGTCTCATGTCCTATGTTTGTATCATTTTCTGTTTTGATACGAAAGTAGAGTCCTGGGGAGGCAAAATTAAATAACAACTTCTGGTGTGCCACCATAACTTCAAAGTGCCCTTTGGGCAGTTATGATAGGTGTCAAGGGAAGATTGGAATGAGAATTTATACAGTCATAGAGTCATTCAGCACAAAAAGTGACCTTTGGGTCCAACTCGTCCATGCGACCAAGTTTCACAAAATAAATTATTCCCATTTGCAAGCATTTGGCCCATATCCATCTAAACCTTGCCTATTCATGTACAAGTCCAAATGTCTTTTAAATGCTGTAACTGTACCTGCATCAACTACTTCCTCTAGCAGTTCATCCCACATGTGAAACAGTTGTCCGCCAGGTCCCTTTTATGTCTTTCTTCTCACACTTTAAAAATATGCCCTCTAGTTTTGAACTTCACTACCCTAGGAAAAGACCTTTGTTATTCACCTTATTTTTGCTCCTCATTGTGTTATAAATCCCCACCCCTCAACCTTCTACACTCCAGTGAAAAAAGACCCAGCCTATCCGACCTCTCCTTATAATTCAAACCATCCAGTCCCGGTAACATCCTTGTAAACATTTTCCGAACCCTCTCCAATTTAATTATATCCTTCCTATAGCAGGACTGACCAGAACTGTACACAGTACTCCAGAACAGGCTTCACCAACATCTTGTGCAACCATATGACATCCCAACTCCTATACTCAATTGTCTGAGCAATGAAGTCAAGTGTGCTAAACGTCTTGTTTACCACCCTGTTCATCTGTGACGCAACTTTCAAACAACTATATACCTGAACCCCTAGGTCTCTCTGTTTGACAACACTCCCCAGGGCCCTACCATTAACTGTATAAGTCCTGCCCTTGTTCATCTTACCAAAATGCAACACCTCACATTTATCTAATTTAAACTCCATCTGCCACTTCTCGGCCCGTTGGCCCAATTGATCAAGATCCCTTTGTAATCTTAGATAACCTTCTTCAATGTCTGCTATGCCACCAATCTTGGTGTCATCTGCAACTTACAAACATGCCTCCTAAATTCTCATCCAAATCATTTACATAAATGACACACAACAATGGACCCATTGTTTATGGATGGTTTCAATTAATTTGATTGCCCAAACAAACAGTTTCAGAAGAAAATATGTCAGGAAAAGCCTTTCTCTGCTTTGATATAATACAGCAGGGTAGGTCCCCTTATACTGAAGATTTCACTTTATCCGACCCCACCCCCACCCGACCATGTTGCATTACAACGCAGGCAGGACACACTGCCTCTCGCATCCTAATATTACATTCCCTGAGCATGTGGCTGTTACAAGGACATGCCTAATAATATGCAAACACTCCAGAAAGCATCAGGCCAGCAATAATGGGTGAATGGACCTGACTGTGGATCTTTGCTCTTTTCCAATCAGTGCTACAACTGGTGAAAAACAGAGGAAAATCTGTGATAACAGAATAAAATTGCTAAAAAGAGACATGTTGCCGAACCTTTATATTTTACCGTCATCAGGCCAAAGAAAGGAATGCCAAAATTCAAATAATTTAACAAGCAAAAAGAATGATGTTTGGCAAGTCAACTGATTCACCAAGGCATTGCCATGGAGAAAGATAAGGATGCTTACCAATCTCCTGGGTAATTCAAATAAGGTTCAAGGCTTGAAAATATTCCTTTTATTTGCTGATAATTGGTCCTTTCATCTGAATGTATGTCATCTCTAGCAGTTATGAATGTGTAATAATATAAGCTTGACTGATTATCTTAAATTGGCCACTTGTACAGCAGTTAACACAGTCATGATTGGCCAGCAAGTGCTACCCAATCATGAATCCCATCTAACAGTTCACTTTTGTATTGGGCTTTGCATACGTGACTGATTGGGTACTTTTTGCACTCTGTCTATTACAAAAACCAAAGGGCCATACTATTTGACTCAATCAGCGAATGCTAGGACATGGGACATCTCTATCCGCCATCATGCCAACTTTTTTTTTCACCATTGTAACACCCTTGTCAATTGGACTTGTCTTACCAACCAGTCAGCCCCCTTTTTACCTACACTATAAATTATTGAATCAGAGATAGTAGGAACTGCAGATGCTGGAGAATCCGAGACAACAAGGTGCAGGGCTGGATGAACACAGCAGGCCAAGCAGCATCATAGGAGCAGAAAGGCTGACGTTTCGGGCCTAGACCCTTCATCAGAAA